TGCGAAGCGCCAGGGCCTGGGGTGCCCGCGGCCGCGGGCGCACGTCGGGTCGCTGCAAGCCGTGCGCGGGGCTTCGCCGAGGACTGCGTGCGCCATCAGAAGGGGGGCGTCGTAGACGAGCTCCCAGCGGGCGCGGCAGTGCTTGGGGAGAGGGCGGTGGTCCCGACCCCCGAGGGAGGAGCAGTCCTCTTGCAGACGATCGCCCAGAGCGCGATGGAGGAGTATAAGATGGATGACCTCAGAGTGTTGGCGGTGAGGTTCGACGCCATGGGCCGCCGCAAGAAGCCCTTCCACGACGGTGTGGCCAACTGCGTTCCCGATGAGGCCGAAGGGGGCCTGGGCCTCGAGGGCCCCTGCACCGTGGCGTGGAGGTGCTAGACCTACGTGGATCAGTCCCAGACGCCAGTCCCCCAGCGCGCCCCCTGGCAAACCGCTTCAGGGGTCTCGAGTGGCTATCGGAGCGTCTTCGAGCATGAGGTGCTGTCGGAGGTGCTGAAGAGCATGGTCTGCGCTGACCAACTGCGTGCCCCGTCTCTTCGCTCGGCGGAGCTCACGTGCCGCGGGCTGCAGCTGATCGAGAACGCTCGCTCGCTGAACCCATCGGCGCCGGACTACTCGGCATCAGATCACCACGTGGGCTGGGGTCGCCGCCGTCAGGGGATGATGGTGACGCCCCAGCTCCAGCAGCGCGTGTCGACCTCGCTCCGCCACGAGCGCCAGGTGGCCACAGAAGAGCGCAAGGCGCGAGAGGAGCGCTGAGGAGGCGAGAAGGAGAAGGATCAAGAGGGGCAGGGGCGATGCAGTCCCTCATGGGAGGTCCAGGGTCAGACCTTCCAGCGGCGAAGCGCCCAAGAGGTCCACAGTTTTTCGAGGGAGCTCGGCTTCGAGACCTTTCCACTCCCTGAGGTTGCCGAGGAGTCGGCCACCGCGGGCAGCCCTTCCGTTCAGTGCGAAGACGCTCGGCGAGGAGGAGGAGGGTTTTGGATAGAGCTACCAACTCTGTCATCAACACTTTGAATGAGATGCACGGCGGCGCTGAGGTAAATAATGGGGCCCCCGCGCTTGGCCAGATGCTCTCACGGGACGCGATGCGCCGCGACGTCGCCTTCATTTCGCCGCCCCAAACCTTGCGCGCCAGACGCGGAGCCGTTCGCGAGCTCTTGTCAGTTGACTATTCAAGAAGCGATTGCAGCACCGCGGTTCGCCCCTTTCGGCGGGGCCAGGCTTCTTCCAGATCCTGGGAGGCCTTCGGCAGATCTGCTGCCTGCTCTCCAGGAGCCTGACCTGGATTTGCTGAAGTCGTGAGATGCTCATGTGCTAGCTGACCGTGCTGATGCGGGGTCCGATCGAGAGACTGCGCATCAGTTTAGGTTGTACTTCGACGAGATTTTCAAGACGCAGCGCGAGGTCCACGTAGAGTTTTTGAGAGACCTTAGCAGCGCGAAGATGATATGTTAGCCGTGTGACGTCTTTCTTTGTCGCCAAGAAGAAGGACCGACTGCGTCTTATTATGGATTGTAGGAATTCGAATTTGCTGTCTCGGGCCCCGCCGGCCCCGGTGACGGGGGCCGCCGCAGCCTAGGCTAGCCTCGAACGGCCGCAGGAGGAGGCCAGGTGGATTGACGGAGATGGGGGCCTTGACGGAAGCGGCAGACGTAAGCTCTGGGTGGCGCAGGCCGATGTGAAGGAATGGTTCCCTTGCGCTCGCAACCTGCAAGAGCTGCGCCGCTATTTCTGCATGCCGCCCATCGCCGAGGGGAGAGGATCGACGCGGAGATCGGGGGCTCCGAGGCTCTTGGGGGTCTGGTCCGTGACGCTAACGTGCGCCCCGTGCTCCTACCCCCCCCCCATGGGCTTCTCCTGGGCCTTCTACTTCGTCGGGTGCCTTGTGGGGCGCCAGCGTCGGGCTTCTCCGTCTGAGACGGGGCTCGCTTTCGAGTTCCTGAGGGGTGGCGCCCCAGCTCCAGACCTCGGCCCATCTTGCTGCCTCCCCCCCCCCCCTATTGCGATGACATCGATGTCGCGGGCGTCAGGAGGGAGGAGGTCCAGAAGGCTCAGGGCGCCATCGTCGCTCGGCTTCGTTTCGCGCAGTTCACGGTCCATGAGGAGACCGACCCAGAGCTCCTCTCTTCTTCGCTGGGGCGCGCTATTGATTGCCAGTCGCGGATAATTCGCAAACGGCCCGAACGAGGAGAGCGCCCGCGCAAGGTTTGCGAGGCGTCCGATGGAGGTCAGCCCGTCACGAGCAGGCAGGTGAAACACTCCCTTGGACATGTTGCTGAATTCCTTCTGACCATGCGAGTGTCTCTCTCAGTGCTGCGCGCCGTGTGCGGCCTCGCTCCGCAGGCAGGAAAGCCCCCCAGAGTTTGGCCATTTGCTCGCCGCGAGGTTCGCTGGATCCGCTCCTTGACATTCGTCGGCCTGGCTCGGCTGGATAGGCCCTGGCGCGACGCAGTTGCGTCGACTGGCGCGCGCGATGCCGGAGCTGGGATTGCATCGCCGCGGGCAGACTCTCTTGAGGTGGCCGGGGTCGGCAGCATCTGAGAGCGCTGGAGGCATCGATCTCGCCGCCCCCTTCGCCATCGCCCCCGTCCGCGCGCGCTGGGCGGGGGCCCCTTGGGCAATCTGGGCGCGGCATTGCCTGTGGGCCGTCGAGCTTTGAAGGAGGCCCTAGAGGACATGGAGTGTAACCCGGGTTTCGGGGAGGTACCGGAGGCCTTCGTGGATCCTGACAAGTGGCGCGAGGTCTTCGCCGTGCGTTTCAGGAAGGAGGAGGCTGCGCCCATTCTCGAAGCTCGGGCATCATTGCTGCGGGCGCAGCACTATACGATCAACTCATTCGTTTGGGAAGCGTCTTATTACTGTGGGATCAGCAGGGGATGGCACTTGCCACTGGGTGGTCTCAGGCGTCATCGCGCGACCTGATCGTCATCATCATCAGACCCATTGCTGCGTATCTATTGGCTACTGGCTCAAGTCTTTCACCGCGCTGGACACCTTCGGAGTTGAATGGCAGCAGACAGGCCCCCCAGACGACGGGCGCCAGACGTCGGGCCTCCGACGCGCCGCGGAGGCCCGAGGGCCAGCCCGACGGGCAGGCCCAGTGACGGCACTGGCGCGCCGCGGGCAAGGAGTCACGTCTCGGCTCCAGAGGCGCCGCCGGGGCTTGAGCCCCTCCGGCCCAGCCGGCTCTCCTGCCCGCTGCCTTCAGCGGCAGGGGGCCTCAGATCGCACCTCGGGGCCGACCCGGGAGACTCGCGGCGAGCGGCGGCTGGGCATCTTCGGGACCTTTGTCAGTCAAGCCCTGGCCGGCCGCCATGCCATTCTCGAACGTCACTCGATCTGATGATGATGATGATGATGATGATAGTGGCGATGCTGGTGACGATGATGGCCGACATCGACGGGCCACTCGATCAATGATGACATGGCGACGGCCCGTCGGATGGCACTCGATCTGATGATGACAACGATGAAGCGTCGCGACGTCCCCCCGGTTCTGCGCCAGTGTCAACGACTCGCACTGAAGTGCACGCGCGTCAGCATGGTCTGTCAGATTTACGGGGGACCCCCCAACGGTCAGAGCCACCGCGGCCGCGTCGGTTGCGCCAGACTAGCTGGCCGCTCTGAGCGCGAGCCTGCGCGCGCTAGCGCGGCCGCAGCGATGCGCCAGCCAGCGCCAAACAGTCATCATAATTGCCGTCGCGTGGGTTTTGCAAACGAAGTTGCGGGCCTGTGGGATGTTTGCGCGAGCAGTGGAAGTGACCACTCATCGCGAACAGCAGCAGCTTGCACGACATAGGTTGCACCGCATACATTGCACCATTTAGATTGCACAACATATGTTGCACCACGCAGGTTGCATCATTCATATTGCATGATTGCACCACATCTATTGCACCACATCGATTGCGCCATATATATATATGTAAATATGTATATGCATTGCACAACATGTCGCACAACGCAAACTGCACCACGAACATTGCTTCATTCACATTGCACAACATGTACTGCTAGACACGCGTTGTTTGCCCGCCACATGCACTGCTCATGTTGCACCGCATGTATTGCCTATCGTGGAGTGCGCTCCACGGAGAGCACCGCGCATTTTGAACCGCATATGTTGCCCCACATATGTAGCATCCCACATTCATGGAGATTGCAGCAACCAACTTCGGGGGCAACGCTGGCAAGCATTTTTGACGCATTCGCGTCGCCGTAGAGGGGGGAACAACTTTGACGCCTGGCGATCCGCGGACGGTGGGCGCACGGGGGAGGGGTGCTGGGATATCAGACAGGTGAGCTCAGAACGCGACCCTAGGCCACCAGCCGCTCAGAGGGCTGGTGGGATTGGAACTAGCCGTGTCGGACAGGCCTGGGTGAAGAGTATCATTTGCCGCGGAGTCTAGCCCAGCCCTTTCTTCACCGGTCCAGAGGTGCAGACGGAGGAGAAGGAGGGGGAGGAAGAGGAGGAGGAGGAGGAGGAGGAGGAGGAGGAAGAGGAGGCAGGAAGAGGAGGTAGGAGGAGGACGAGGCCACCGATGTGCAGATTCCTGGTTTGATTGTTGATATAGCTCTTGTGCTGGCGCGCAGGCTTCGCCCGGATACTTTTGCCTTGCTGGGGTACACCGTGAGGGTTGAGGAAGGAGAAGGCATACGGAATGGGAAGGAGCACGGAAGGGAGAAGAGGAGGAGGATAAGCCAGGGAGGAAGGAAAAGGGAGGAGGGATACGAAAAGGAGAGGGGACGGATGGAGAAAGAGGCGAAGAGGATGCGGAGGAGGAAAAGGAGGAGGAGGAGGAGGAGGCGCGACAGAAGGGGTGATGGGAGGAGGGAGGAGGGCGAATGAGGAGGAGGAGGAGCAGGAGGAGCAGGAGGAGGAGGAGCTGATGCCGCGGGCAGTCTCGCCCTGATGTGTTGACAGCACGCGATGCGGAAGGAGGTAGACGAGAAGAGGAGAAGTGGGAGGAGCAGGAACTGCACGCAACCTCCCGCAGATAGAAGCCGGCGGTCCCAGCGACGAAAAGGACCTCAAAAAGGCTCCGCTGACTCCCGTGCGGGGGGGCGATGGGGGCGGTCCTCAAGGGTATGAGAACTTCTTACCCGAAGGTCTTTGGCCGCTGCCGCCTGCTCCCTGCCCCAGGCATCGAGGGATCCCTCGTCGCCATTCTCTTCATCGTCGTCGTCGTCGTCGTCCGCCTCCTGCTTCTCGTGCTCTTTCTGTTCCTCTTCCGCCCCAGTGCTCCATGGTCCTCCCCTCTCTTGGTGAGTTTTCTCTTTGCTCCCGTGGCTGTGTGGCGCTGGGCGCAAATCACAAACGCCCATGGGGCATTATACAGCGGCGTATTATTTCAGTTTGCCGTGGCCGCACTTGGTGTCCCGCCGCCGAAAGCATCGAAACTTTTTTCGAAGGGCAGCGGCACTGCGTTGCCACGTCGTTGGGTTTCTGCCGATAAGCTTGCAGGTTGATATGTCTTTTGGGCAACAATCAGAACGTCCCCCCAACCGCCGCCGGGCGAGCTGGATTTACCACTTGGGGGTCCAGGAGGTTGTGTCATCATGTGTCACGGCTGACGTTTAACGTTCGAACGACGAACGCCCCAGTCTTAAGATACTCCCTCTCCCAGGACAACGCAGTGCGCGGGCGCCCAGATCCTATTGGACGCCCGAAAGGGGTACGGAAAGAGTGGGTACAGTGCCCAACAGCAGTTCCTGTTCATTTTAAACCGGATTCGCTGTCCGCGCCGCCGCGGCTTGTGTCCATTCGAGACAGGAGGCCGCCTGCCCAACAGCGGACGCTGTTGGCTTGGGACAACGTTTGTTGTTGGGCATTGTCCCCATTCTTCCGTACCCATTTCGGGCGTCCAAAAAGTCGGGCCTGTCCCTCTACAGGGGGACTATCCGAAGATAGCCAACACAAATCCCCTGGGGGCTATTTTTGGAGTATGCTGGGGCATCATTGGAGTATGTTTTGGGCATTTTTTTAAATTTTCTTCCAAAATCCCCCTGGTTTGGGACAACATTTGTTGTTGGGCATTGTGCCCATTTTTTCCGTACCCCTTTCGGGCGCCCAGATCCTGGAGCCCGGACGTGGCCTCGAGCCGAGGGGCCGAGGGCTCGGCGGCGTCCTCTCCCCCTGCCCCGCGTGCTCCTCCTGCCGATCGATCGCGCGCGCTCCGCTCGCACCAGCCTGCAACGACAACATCTGTGCGACAACACGACATGTCAGAGCCCCGAATCATCAGGGGTAACTGGGGTCAGGGATAACTCGGGTTCCTTTTTCGGGATTCCGAACCCGAGTTACCCCGGACCCGAGTTACCCCGGATATTTCGGGCGTCCAGAGCCCCCGAATCATCAGGGGTAGCTCGGGTCAGGGCTTACTCGGGTTCCTTTTTCGGGAACCCAAACCCGAGTTACCCCGGACCCGAGTTACCCCGGATAACTCGGGCGTCCAGACATGTGCACGACGCACTCTCTTGTTCCGACACTGTCCCGTAAAGTCGGATGAACTTGTGTGCTCGCTCTGGAGCGCATCAGGGCATCCATACGTATCGGGTTGAGAGCAAACACGCGACCGCGCTGTACGGCGCTGCATCTGCAGCTCGGCCGCCTTCTTCTGCACGCGCACAATCGTTCCAACGATCCCCCAACCGGCAAGCAAGTCCATCTCGCAGCGCTCCCTCGGGTTTGCCCACTTTCTGGGGGGCGAGCACTGTTTCCTCGTGAAGTGTGCCGAGATGGAGGGCGGAAGGGAGGCAGGGGGAGTGGGACGATGAGAGGAGGAGCGTGCTGGCCGAGCATTTTCTTAGGGTGGAGGGCTCAGGGTGAAGTCCACATGGGCTTTCGCTCCTCGAGAATCAATCTGTCTTCTGGTTCACCTTTTGCAGATTCGAGCCTCGAAAATCGATCGAAACGGCATTTCAGATGTCACCCTTTGCCCTCCACCCAAAGAACATGCTCGGGATGAGGGAGGAGGGATGGCCGTGTTGATGATGGTGTTGTTGATGTTGATGGTGGCGATGATGAGGTTGTTGATGATGATGATGGATATTGATGACGATGGTGATGACGGTGGCGGTGGTGGTGATGGTAATGCTGACGAGTGATATGATGATGTTGATGCTGATGATGATGCTGCTGATGATGATGCTGGTTGTGGTGATGATGGTGCTTGTCACGAGGATGAGGATATGTATGATGATGATTATGATGATGCTGATGATGATGATGATGATGCGGATGCTGATGCTCATGCTTACGATTATGCTGATGATGACGACGATGCTGATGCTGATGATGTCGATGATGGAGTTGATGATGCTGCTGGTGATGCTGATAATGATGATGCTGATTCTGGTGATGATTGTTGGTGATGATGGTGGCAGTAAGGGTGTTGGTAATGTTGCTGATCCATGATGGTGATGATGATGATGATGATGATGCTGATGAAGATGCTGATGATGATGATGCTGGTTGTGGTGATGATGGTGATGATGAGGAGGAGGACAAGGATGTTGATGATTAGTATGCTGATGATCATGTTAATGATGATGATGATGACAATGATGCTGATGATGATTCTGATGCTCATGATGATGCCGATGATGACGGCGATGATGATATTGATGATATTGAGTATGGTGGTGATAGGTATGATGGTGATGCTGGTGGTGATGATGATAGTGATGACGATGACGATGGTGATCATGATGCTGATGCTGATGAATATGATGATGATGCTGATGATGATGGTTATGATGATCATGATGATGGCGATGATGATGGTGATGGTGGTGGCGGGTGGTGGTGGTGGTAATGTTGACGATTGATGATGTTGAGGATGATGATGATGATGATGATGATGATGATGATGTTGCTGGTTGTGGTGATGATGGTGATGATGAGGAAGAGGATACGGATGATGATGATGATGATGATGATGCTGATGATGATGATGCTGATGATGATGATGATGAGTATGAGTATGATGATGACGATGATGCGAATGATGATGATTCTCATGATGATGACGGAACTGATGATGTTGATGACGTTGATTCTGGTTGAGATCGTTCTGATGGTGATGTTGGTGGTGATGATGGTGGTGATGACGATGACGATGGTGATCATGGTGATGATGATGTTGATAATGCTGATGGTGATGATGATGAGTATGATGATGCTGATGATGATGCTGATTGTGATGATGATGGTGGTGATGATGATGATGATGGTGATGATGATGGTGATAATGGTGGTGCTGGTGATGATGGTGATGATGTTGATGATGGTGATGATGGTTGTGGTGGTGATGGTGATAGTGGTGGTGGCGGTGATGATGATGATGCTGGTGACGATAATGACAATGATGACACGATGACGATGATGACGATGATGCCGACGACGACGAGGATGATGATGGTGATGATGATGATCATGCTGATGCTGATGCTGATGCTCATGATGATGGTGATGATCATGACGATGATGTTGATCATGATAATGGTGATGATGATGCTGATTCTGGTGATGATTGTTGGTGATGATGGTGGCGGTGGGGGTGTTGGTAATGTTGACGATCGATGACGTTGATGGTGGTGATGATGTTGATGAAGATGCTGCTGCTGCTGATGATGATGATGATGATGATGATGATGGTTGTGGTGATGATGGTGATGACGATGATGATGCTGGTGACGATGATGATGATGATGATGATGATGATTATGATGATGATGATGATGATGATGATGATGGTGGCGATGATGATGATGATGATGGTGATGGGGGTGGTGGTGGTGGTGATGGTGGTGATGATGATGATGCTGTTGTTGATGATGATGATGATAATGTTGATGATGATAATGCTGATGATGATGATGATGATGATGATGATGATGATGATGATGATGGTGGTGGTGGTGTGGTGATGGTGATGGTGATGGTGATGGTGATGGTGATGGTGATGGTGATGGTGATGGTGATGGTGATGGTGATGGTGATGGTGGTGGTGATGGTGGTGGGGAGGAGGAGGAGGATAACATTTAGACGGATGAGGATGGGTAGGATAAGAAGGGGGAGGGGGAAGGAATGGGGAATGGTAGAAGGGAGGAGGAGGAGGAGGAGGAGGAGGGGAGGAGGAGGAGGAGGAGGAGGAGGGAGGAGAGGAGAGGAGAGGAGGAGGAGGAGAAGAGGAGGAGGACGAAGAGGAGAGGTTGGAAGAGGAGGAGGAGGAGGTGGAGGAGTAGGAGGACGAAGACGAAGACGAATAATCATGAAAATGAGAAGAAGAGGGAGATGGAGGAGGAGGAGGGGGAGAAGAAGGAGGAGGATGAGGAGGATGAGGAGGAGGAGAAGGAGGAGGAGGAGGAGGAGGATTTGGAACCTGAAAGGGTGTGCTTGCCCGCGCGAAGGCCTACAGAAAACTGGCCCTGCGGGTGCATCCGGACAAGATATCGGACGAGGGCCGCCGGGAGGCGTTCAACCAGGCCGTGCCCGGTTGCCGTTGAGGAGGGGGGAGGGGGATGTGAGGACGTGAAGGACGATGCAGGAGGAGGAGGAGGAGGAGGAGGAGGAGGATGAGGAGGAGGAGGAGTAGAAGGGGGGCATGAACAGGGGGAGGAGGACGATGAGGTGAACGAGGGTGCAGGAGGAGAAAGAGGAGGACGAGGAGGAGGAGGAGGCGGAGGAGGTCGAGGAGGAGGAGGAGGAGGAGGAGGTGAACGAGGGTGCATGAGGATGATGAGGAGGTGAATGAGGGTGCAGGAGGAGGAGGAGGAGGAGGAGGAGGAGGAGGAGGAGGAGCAGGAGCAGGAGCAGGAGCAGGAGCAGTAACAGGAGCAGGAGCAGGAGGAGGAGGAGGAGGAGGAGGAGGAGGAGGAGGCCTGTGCAGTCGTCTCGGGGCGTTCCCGAGGCGTCTCGGGGAGCTCTTGGCCCGTCTGACGCCTCAGGAGGCCGTCTTGGGGGCGTTTGTTGGCGGTCTTGGAGCGATCTTGGCGCGCTCGAGGGCCGTCGTCGGGGCTTCTTGGACCATCTGG